CAACTCTGAAAGACTGCCATAGAGCTTTCTCTCAAGGGGAGCCACATTCTGCCACGTCTGTGCGCGAAGGGTGGCGTAGCGCGGGCAGTGCTGAAGGATATGGTTGGCACCCTCTTGGTCGTGTCCACATTCACAGGTCGCTGTTTCTCCTACTTTTAATTTGGTGTGCATATTTATGGTGTTTGGGTCTGTTGTGGCCACAGCGGAGTCTAAAGATTGTGACCTGGTCTGCTCTATTTAGTATGTTGTAGGTGCTCACTGTAAAATCAAGATACAGTGTGTCTCAAAATTCACGCACCGTCCTGGAAACTGTATTCATACACAGAGACTGATGCAGTTTATTATTTTTAGACTTGACACAAATGGCAGGATAACTTGTCTGTGGAAAGGCACTTAACACAAATTTCTCTCTATGAAAGGTCTTGTCAGCTTATTAATTTTTGTGTTTGAGTGCTTATACAATGGTATCTTGCACTAAAGGATGCGAAACTCAAATTTTTTTACGTCAAATTTCTCAAAACTAGGTGCTGAGGAGATTGAACTTTGTACTTCTGAGGTAGACTTGCCATTGGTTTGGTGCTTCACCACAGTATAATATGCTTACTCTCACCAATAGGTCTGCAGTCACAGATATATGAAGAGATATTTCTGTAATGGTAATATTAAACCTAGCTACCTACAATAATTGTATTGACAAACACAAGGCATATATGCAATGAAGTCTGCTTTTCGGGACCACCGTATTTCTTTGGTTTAGTCATGTTTTTGGTGTAGAGAGATGGCTCAAATGGTGGGGGAAAAAATTGGGGATTCTATTTTGTTCTGGTACTCAGATCAATTGTGTTCCGGTTTAAGCAGACTCCACCCTACATGAAATAAATATGTTTGTTATTTTGTTCCAGGGCATCGAGTTTGGCTTGCTGCCCAAATTTGAACGTTTACGGACACTGCACATGTACATGTTCTATCTGCTCTACGGATATGATGATTCTTCTGTCGAGAAAGAGCCGCAGGGGGCGACAAAGGTAAGAAACAAACTAGCGTCACGGGGGAGCTCATAAAGGGATGTAGATAAGGCAGAAGCTAATGTAAGATGACGTTTGTCTAGGTGCC